TATATATATAACATATTAAATTCTCCTTTAAACCATTAATTACTACAGCAATTTAAAAAAAAAACTTATTAAACTTATATATATTTTTTAGCATCTCATTTTGTACTGAGTAGTAGTATGAAAGTTTTCAGTTACTCAGTGTTAATCCATATTTTGCTACAGCTTCATCCAAAGAGACGACAGATTGTCTTGTACTATTTTCCTGATCCATCAGTAAACCATATTATTTGTCCTCATCTTCATGACATGTTTTGTTGCTTTTATAAGAACATTCCACTTCAGTAATTTGATTGGCATATTGCCTTAATAATATGTTATTATTATACCTTGCCTTTTACAATTTTGATCAGTGATGTGCACAGGGGAGTAGCTGTGTGGGTTCAAGCCCTTGTTTTCCTTCTCTTATGCCCCAAAAGTATCCTTTTTCTCAGTCATAAAAATACTGTTCATGATTACTAAAAGATATGCCTGATTCTACACCTTGCTCGCTGCAAGTTATTACAAAAAATAAAGATTTCAGTTTTAATATGAATGTCACACAGGGACTTGTAAATCTTTACAGTAAAATAATAATTGTGATATGCTATTAAGTGTTAATACGAAAGAATTTACTGTTTAGTTTTACATTTTAAAAGTGCTTATAAGAGCAGTTGAACAGGAACAAAAGAGGATCAGTTTGCTTCTCATGACTTTCTTATCCTGTGTGTATGAGGGTCAACCAACAGCCTTCCCAAATATCTTTACCCTTACCAAAAAAAAAAAACGGTCTTACCTTATGATACCTGAAAAGTGTCGTTTTTTTTGGCCATTTAGCCTCTGCTCTTTTAATGTTGTATACATGTTACTGGTATTAGTTCATACTAAACAAGCTTTTGTTATCATATTGCAGATAATAAATATGACACATATATTATCAGTTTTGATTTCATTTACAAATTTAGAAGGAAAACCTGGAATATAAAATCTTTAATCATATTATTTAGTAGTTAAAGTCATCACAGTTGGCAGCACTTGGAAGTAAAAAGCCAGTGTTTAGAACCCCATTCAACTGTATAACATATATTTGTTTTGAAATAAGGTTCAGATCATTAATGTACAGAAAGAATCGACTGAATGAGTGAAGATTATGCACTTTGTTACTTTTTCTTTAGCCAATCTTCAGTCCGGATAGTAGTGAACATACTGGTCATGAAGAAAGAAGACCCACGTTTAGTCTTCTGACTTCCCATCCGGCTCGGAAGTTCATAATGGACTTCATACGCGTTATTGTTGTGGACAGTTTGTCTTTACCTGTGAACCCTAAACAACAACCTGTTGTGGACATTGTCTTGGAGGTCTGTATTTTGAGTGTATTTGTACATAAAAGGCAATATTGTTGTTGTTATAATGCTTCAGTTCAGCCTTAAGCCTCGTCAGTCAGACATGTAGTGTGTGTGTGTGTGTGTGTACATACACTACATACACACTTATATATATTAGAGGGAATATGACCCATACCCTTGTAGTATTTTTCCATTAAGTTTAAACTATGGGCAAGCCTTATATGTAGTTTTAACAGGAAATTAATATGTCAGATACATGTGTGTTCAGAATAAAACAAAGTTTTTAACAGAAATTATGGAGTTGACATTCCAACTGCTAGAATAATAAATAATGTTATATTGCCTGTACCAATGAGTAAACTATTAACATTTAAATCGACAAAATAACTTGGAAATGTGTTTACATAACCTTTCTCTTGAAAAAGTTACTTTTAGAATGGTTTCAGCCTGAACTTAATGTCATATTAAAATAACTACAAAAATTACATAATTTACATTTCCTATAGTGTATTAGGTAAAGTAAATAATATTGCTAATAGTTTTCATGAACTAATCTTAAACAAAAACATATAAATGCAAATTTGCTAAATAAGAGGAATAATTTGTAATCAGAAGAATATGATCAAATTTTTCAGAAACTTGACTTATCTGAATATTTAAACATTTATGTGTCTTATAAATTCAGATGCCGTCTCCTCCAGGACGTATCTTCGCTATTCACACAGTATTTTGAAGTTGAAACTTAATTTTCCTTTCCTGTATTCTTCTGTTCAGCCTTGTTTGGGAAACTTAATAGATATACATGTACATGCAAACGAATACATAAATATTGAGAAGGTATTTCCTGCTGTGAGTTCCTTAAGGTGTTAGAAATAGATATTCATTAGCTTAATATTTTCAAATTAACAGCCCATTCAACTTTTAGGATTCTATATATTTTTTTGAAGATTCACTTATGTGTCTCCGAAGCTCTATTAATTGCTATTTAGTAGTTACTGAGACTTATCTGCACTTTCCCAGTCTCGGTTCTTTGTCAGAATGTAGTGACACTTCTTACTTAATGCTGTTTGGATGGGAGGAGTCAAAGTGCGAATGACCTAACCTACTATATATCATTAAACTTGGTATTATGTATTAAATATCAAAATTACTAACTTTTCGTGTACCCTACACTGGTGATCTCACAACAGTTTATTATAGAAAATACTAGATTCAATGTAAAGAGATACTTAAAAAAGTGTAGGTATGCATTTCGGAGGTTGTATAAGTTATACAAGTTCAGTTTGTAAATTGTGCAATGTATAAAAGTATTTTTAATCTTCACATGAACATCACCTTGCACTCTGACTTATCAGAGTCTGAGCCAGACTGATTTTGCATTTCACAGACATATATTTTGCACAAAAACTTTATTAACACATCAGATTTTTTGTGCTCAACATACTTTTACTGTTTACTAGCAGCTTGTCACATTTTGTAAAGATTACACTTCTTAAATTCAGAATCATAGGTCATTACTTCTCCAGAGTTTTATCTTTAGATGTTTAAACATAATTAACAGTAAAAGTAGATTATAATGGATTATGCTTTTATTTTGCTTAGGAATATCAACAGATTATTTATTAATACATTTAATGTGTCATGTTTAAGATTAATTATTAACAAACTTATTGTTTGTTTTTATATATCATTGCTTACCAGGTTGCACCAAGAAACTGTAGTCAGTCCAGTCTGTGTGAGTTTCAAACAGCAATACTCTCCTCTTTAATGGACCATCTTCTTGCTGCAGACATCCTGTTGGGGGAACAAGCAGCATTACCTATAGCAATTGGTGGAAGTTATTCAAACATTCCGTCTAATGTCCTGCATCTCTCTAGCTGTGTTGTAGACAAACTTTGGCAAGGTGATTACGTAACCTACTTCTTATACTTAGTTTGATGTGGATAGTTTGTTGTAAAATGTGGTTTATTATTGAAACTATTGAGAACTTTTCTTGCTAATTTTTAACACACAATGTGACATAATGTGTAATTTTTTGTAATTTGCTAAACTTTTCAACTAGTTAGGACTTCTTTCCCATACTATCAAATTTTAACCTAGTAGTTGACGAAAAATTATATACATTTGAGATACTGTAAGATTATTTTGTATTTGCTTTGGTATAATATTGATGCTGCAAAATTTTGGTGTATGTATTAATCCTACAATTACCTGATGAGGCATCAAATTAGACCCCTCTTGACTTTTAACCCCATTACCCCCACAACTTTTTTAACGTTCCTTTCTACGTTTTTACTCCATTGCATTCAAAACTTAATAAAACCACTTTACTATCAATATATGTCAATGAAACTAACATCATAATGTATGTTATAATTTGAATTTTTATGTTATCTAAGTTATAATTCTTTTGTTTCAAAGGAAACATTTTAAAAAATACTTAAACTGAAGTTTTCAGGTCATGTGATCCATGCACTATGAAATATCTCAACTTTAGCAGAGGTTCACTCTTACCCACATAAGTTGCCAATGTACATGAGGGTCTAGACCCTAATGTATGTATATTTCAACTATTCTCACATAACATTCAACGTCTGCAGTTGCATTCTCTGGAAAAGAGAAATACATTTTCCAACCCTTGAAAGTTGCCACACCCACCTTCTATACTTTGGCTTTAGATCTACAGTGTACATATAGTTAGTTGACACAAGTGTATATAGTCATTAGAAAGAGCTCAGTTTATACTATATTCTACCAATGGTTAATTTGAAATTGGCAGGCAGTTTTCCTCACAATGTACATGTAACTGCCGTTAATATTGTTGTCTGCTTGATTGACTATAGCACTTACAGTGGTTTCTTACCTAAATATGCTATAGTTAGAGAAACAGTTAAATTGTATTTAGATTTTACTTTTATATTTTAGTTAATTATTTATTATTGTGTTTTAAAAATCATATTTGAAAGGTTTAATTATTTTTGTAAGTTTATCTTGTTACCTGAATTGCGAAAGTGTATAAACAAGATGGTGTCATTCATGTATGCAAAGCATTACTGAAATGAGTTTCAGCGAAGGGGTTGCCATATACTAATAATATGTGAAATTACGCACGTTGTAAAACAAGCGTCTAAAGACTTCTACAAAGAGTTAAGTTCCATTTCTTAATTTTAAACATTTCACTGCAATGTACATCAATGATAATAGATAGAGTTAGTGATATAGTAGAGAAAATTGAAAATAAAATATAAACATGTACCTTAAAAAATTTGATATTAATTTATGAGGTTCTGGAGATTGTGCAAATGAAATGTACAAAGTGTAAGATAAAAAATAGTATTTTTATACTTCATATAAAAATCACCTTGTAGGTGAAGTATTCAGAGTCAGAGTGCAAATAACTACATTAAATAAAAAATTTTTGTTAGAAATAGTAGAAAAAATCAAAATTAGATATTTTACTTTTCTGAAACTACATACTTTTAGGAAAGTTCTTGTCAAATTTTAAACAATTTCATCCACTAGTTTTATTTTTCAAATGAAATATAATGATAGCGACGTTAGATTCTTACTACTTGAGGATGAGGTTGCAAAAGACTTAAATCTTCTTGCTATAATAGACAGGTAAAAGTTTACATGTCATGACTTTTTTTACAGAAGTACATTCAAAATTTAATTAAATCACTTGATTATTAGTGCATGTGTATAAACTTAGTTAACAAATCAAATTTTAATGTTACATAAGTTTAATTTCTTAATTTGAAAAGGAACTATTTTATTAAATTCTCAATCTGTGCTTGTCTGTGTAATGTGAAATTTTTTCATTCTGACTTGACCATATTGTGTTTTTCATTGTCTCTGTACGATGTTCTAATTTAACCTAAATTACTAAATATAGATATTACTAAGGCTTAGTTTAATTTTTTATGGCAACCAATCTTCTTTGTTTGAGGAGGTATGAATCAGATCCACACCCTACTATCACATCCTGTTTTTCACAAATTGACAATAACTCTTTAGTATAATTAACTAATGGTGTATAATGCTACCTTGTTCTTAGCAGAGAGTTTTAAATTATTTTGCCTACAGATTGAAAGTTGTTATCACTGAGTTCAAATTGAATAGCTAAGGGAATTATTTTAAGACACTTGTGCCTTAGTTAGAAAGCTAGTTAAATTATAATAGTTATAAAACCTTGTTTGTTTTGTGTGTGTTATTATTTTGTGTCCTCAAGTGCATATTTCATATGAATAAAAATTACTTAAGTTACTAGTAATATCATTACAAGGAACTAGGGTTAAGTTTCATTAGTGGGCTGAAAATAAAAAAATAAGATGAATACTAGATTTCTTGTTTTTTTTATGTATATTTTTTATTTATTTTTATAAGTGTAGTTAAAATGTAAAAATTAAAAACTAATTAGGTTGGATGAAAAAAACTCTTAGTGAATCGAGAATTAAAATTTGTAGCTTATTACAGAAAGCATTTAAAACATTATTTAAATTATATAAATTATTTATATTGTTCAACAGTTATAGATCAAATTTCAACGTACTTGTGTATGATATAATTACACAACCAGGTGTACTGATAAACATAAGAAACTTCTTTAAATTGAATTGTTCCAATTGTACACTTCATACTTGTTGGCAGTAAAAAAACTGAAACTTGTCCAGAAATTTTCTAAAATTTAAATATTTAACCCTAATAACAACAGCACGAGAAACTTAACTACAATCATTTTCAAGGGAAACTGATCCTTATGAAACTATTTTTATATCATTAAATATTTTGAAGTAATTTCTACTTGAGAAATGTGGTTTTCAAATTTAAAGGTACAGATAGCCCTCGTTGTAGCTTTGTGAGAAATTCCAAACAAACCAAACTAACTTTAAAGAAACTAAGTACAATGACTATTTATTTCAACCTTTAAATATGTAATAAAAAAAATTCATTATTTATTTAATAAAACAGTTCAGTAATCTGTAACATGACAGATTGTGCTTTGTATTTATTTCTAGTATCTTAAACAGCTTGTCTGTTGGATAATTTAGATGAATAAATCAGTAGCATCGATGTTACATGTAGTTGTAAGCTATAGTTTCATTGTTTTAATTTCGATGTTTATTAGAGGCGCATGATGTTAAGATGAAGTATGTTTGTAAAAGTAGTCCTAGAATTCTCAGAAAGTTCATGATAACATGAAAACCTATTAACTTTGACCAATATTTAAACATGGGTACAGGAGTTATGAATATAAGTAAGCAGCTAATTAGTATTCGGTGTGTAAATTATCAAGTAATTGTTGATCAAATTTAGTTATTCAGTAAGAGTAAGTTAGTCAGCATTTGTTATCAATCAGAGAAATTTCTGTTAAGCATTATTAGTATATTAGCCCTATAGTAGTTTCAGAGTTTGTGTTGGAAAGTTTATTTGTGAACTTAGGAATATAACTTGCATTATTGAAAGAATAAAGTAATTTATTATTGTTATATGGATTGGATTTCACATTATTTTTATTAAATAATCCAAAAAGAGAAGTTGGCCAATGATAGAAAGCATTACAAATCAAGTTGGCCAATGATAGAAAGCATTACAAATCAAGTTGGCCAATGATAGAAAACATTACAAATCAAGTTGGCCAATGATAGAAAACATTACAAATCCTGTATACCTATGGGTTCACTGTGGTGGGTAAAAAGACAACTAAAAGTACTATACATGTAATATAAAGTCCACCAGTATAAGAAGCCTGGTTCTGTCTTTTTTGTCCTTGTTCAGGGTTACTGATGAGGGGTGGAATCCTTCGAAGCTGGTAGACTTGTTTAGAAGTGGTGAATTAATTATAAATTTGGCATCATAGTTGTTTTCAGTATCCTAAACAGTTTATCTGCTAAATAATTTCCAACAATAAATAAGTAGCATCGATGCTACTTATTCTTCAAATCCTGTATAAATGTAGTTTCAACGTGGTGAATAAAAATACCATACATATAATCTGTAACTTTATTTAAAAGAACTAATTAGTGTAATTTTATATGCCAGGGCATAACAAGGTGTATTTTTAATTAGTATGAAAACTTGTATATTACTAAAGTGCTAAAAAACACCTGCAGTTGCAATACATAGTTTATACATGCTTAATGATTCATTAAATTGAAAATAATTATATATCTCATTATAGGAATGTATACACGAGAACCACAAGAAGTGTTAGACTTCATTCTGAAGATTTTCATTCAAGCTTCAAAACAGGGTGAGTAGAGGAGGCGTACAAGTTTCTGTTTAGTAGTCAGGTACAGTAAACAAATGCAAGGACCCGTGTAGAATTATAGTTGTTTCAAATAGGGTTTTTTTTTTCTGTTACAAATATGAATGTTGAAAAATTGATGAAAAATATTAAGTATGTAAATTGGCAACTTTGATTTAGTTGATGACACTGTTATCTGCCTTTTTATTTCACTTTCAAAAGAATAATTTCAGAATAAAAGAATGAAGTAAAAACAAAAGTGAGAAGAGATCTGGAATTCATTTATAGGACTTGTCTGTATGGTTATAATGCAAAATAGTAGAACTAGGAAAGAGATTAAGTTGATCATCTTTTATAACAGCTTCTTATTATGGTGCATTTAAGATGGGGGAACAACCTGGTAAACTATTATAGCAAGTGTATTAACTTATGTTTGTTTGTTTCAGATGTTAGCACAGAGCTACACAAGGGTTATCTTTTCCAGTTGTCATTAAATTTTAACTGGTAGACTAGAGAGGGAAAGCAGATAGTTAACAGCACCCCCTCCCTCCAACTGTTGGACTACTCTGATCAAATAGTGGGATGTAACCATTAATCTTATAATGCATCCACAGCCACAAATTACAGAGGTAATTATTGCAGCAGTGGGATGCAAAATGTGGATCTTTGGGTTTGAAATCTGGCATGCAAAGCAACTCGGTCTTGTCTGGCCCATACTAGCTTTTATAACTTTGATAAAATACATCTGTCAATGTAATATCACAATGACACTTCAGGTTTGCAGGTTGAAATATTGGTATTGGATAAATAGTTGTTTTAGCTAATATTTTGAAAAATAATTTAATTAGAATAAATAAACATCTGAAAATGAAGTAAATAGTAAAGCTAATAATAATATAAGATTATAACTTTTTATTTTTTTTCCATGAAAAACTAAGAGAGCCTTAAATTATTACATGATAGGTCAATAATTTTTTTTTTGTATTTCAAAATTTGTAGTCCATACTGGAGAGATTTACACATTTTGATAAAAGTTTTTTTAAAAAAACGACCTTTACACTCCAGCTAAATATAAAACAATTTATTTTTATTTTAACCAACGTTGTATATTAACCCTGAATGAAGCCAAACATTGGTTGAAATAAAAATATATTCTTTTATATTTAGCTGGAGTGTAAAGGTCATTTTTTCTAAACTTAGAACAATAATATATATATATTGTGCTGAGTACAGCCTAATGGTTAGTATACTAGACTGTAGAACTGAAGTTCTTGTTACTTCTAATAAAACAATCACACTCTGCACTTTGAGTTTGTGGGCTCATTATAAGAGTGATGTTCATATCATACTATCTGTTATGATGAGAAGCTCAATAATTGGTGGTGGGTAGTGTTGGTAAGCTGTCTTCCTTCTAGTTTGTCACTTCAAATAACAAAGTATCTTTTTTTTTGTTTTGAAACTGTGTAAGAAACCATATGTAATGGTTACTCTCAGAAGTGTAACTGAGAGACAACTTTTATTAACCTGTCTGCCTTGTTCTTGTACTGAGATGTTCTACTGCCTCCTTATAATAAAATTTTAATGAATTAAATAGTATATAAACTCAAGATTTAATTCGGGATTTGGAAAACAGACATGTTTTTTTTTTGTATTGACAAAAAAGATAACATTTTAAGGTCGATACATATATATAATGTACAGAGTTGTGTAAAAATGTTTATGTTTTGAATAACATTATGATTAAATTTTTGTTTTTTTTATAAAAGTTATTTGATGTGAATGCCCAAATAATGTGAGCATCATGTGATGTGGAAAACATAAGATCCTATTGGTTTGAAAAAGTGTTGAATTTTTAACCCTAAAAACAGAATTGAAAAAGAAAAACCTCATTCGTTTGTTTGTCAGAAAATTATTAGAGATACATTCTTGTATTCTTTAATAAATAGGTAAAAGTCATAAGTAACAGCGTCTGTGTTTTAATAAAGCATGCATTATTAAACTTTTGCCATTAGAAATTCATAACTGTTCCTGTATACAGTGTATTTAAGTTTCAACTAAAATTAATTACCCTGTAAAGTGCTATTGTTTCATTCTTTCTGTATGAAAAACCTGTTTTTTTATTGTAACTTGACATTAAATATTGCTTTCTCATTTGGTTAGTTTTTAAAGCTCACTTGTAATGGTAATTTTTGTTTACTTCTTTCTGCAGGACTGAGTATTGTGTACCATAGTTTAAATAGAACTATTCTTTATCAACTCTCAAGACCTATGGATTGTGTTACTGGTAGGTTGTGCTTTGATTTTAGAGATATCTTTCTAATTTATATTTCTTTAATAATGTTGGATGGTCCATTTGTGGCTTGAATTAATTTAGTAAATCAATAGTTTATATACTAAAAAAGTACTTGAACTTGATGTCTGTTTTTTTTATGTTTATTGTTTTTTGACTAGCTGGCTGTATTAGAATGTTTAAAGAAAGTTAATCCAACAGAGAAGTGATCCTTTCATCAGTTGCAATGACCCAATCTCTATTTCATATCATTGTTACTGCTTGCTGTATTTTCTGTTAATTGTTTTTGGATGAAAGTGGCTGTATTATGATACAGTTGTTGAAAAGGTTGAGTACATTATATTCAAATTATTTTGGCCCCTCACTGTGTCATTACAGTCCATGTTGAAACATCATGCTCTATCTAATGACTGTGAATCTTGAAAATGGCCCTGCAGCATAGTTTCCATTGCAAAAGGCTCCATCATAAGGGTGTCATTCCCAAAGTGTCCAACTTTTTATCTTTTTACAACCCATAATTCATCTAGGGTAAAATAAATTATTTCCCAGCATTTATGTCAACAATTTGATCTAACAGGAATCCATAGGTGATTTGACCAGTATGCCTTTATATGGAATAGCAGTAATACATGTTTTATTCTTCAGTTGCTTGAGGTATGTTACAGTTGAATGGCTTGCTGTGAAAGTAGCTTGTATACAGAAGACTTGAGATCCTTATTGATCATATTGCCTGGAACACTTAAATGGTTTTTGCCACTGACCTATGTGTACATGGTTTGACTTTTTATAGAAGAGCTTAAATGCTTATTTCATTCTCCAGCTGCTTGAGGTATATGATGATTGAATGGATATGTCATGGAAGCAACATATGTACACAAGACTTGTGTCACTTTCCAGACACAGATTGTTTACATTAGTTTGGTACACTTGGATGGTTTTTGTCACAGCCGGTGTACTCCTTATTGTAGGTCTCTTTCTGGATGGTCCTGATGCCCTGTATTGATCCGTATTCCTTTGTTTTCCAATGCCGTTAAGTATGAAGGATATCTCTACCTTGGAAATTCTAAGTCCCTGAACTTAAGATATCTTTATGGTCCGAGTTTATGAATATTTTACATGAAAAAGACTGCTAAATACCCTTCTTCAGTGATCAGTTTTCATTTTTATCATGCTACCTACAAAACACTAAACAACGTCAAAAAGGTAGTTTTTGTTTCATGCTGTTCAACTGCGAGTCAATATAGGTTGTGGTTGTTATGTCACATGCTGACTTGTATGTTCAAAATTGTTTTAATATACATTAATCAACTCTCTGTGCTCATAAAATAGTGGTCCTATCGTCATTTAATAATAACCCAGAGTTTATTGAATGTCTTTCTTGTTGTTGACTACAAATAGTTCAGTATTTTCTTTTCATTGTTATCTAGATCAGCTTGCTGTATTAGAATGTTTACAGAAAGTTACCACACACAGAACTGTGGTCCTGTCATCAGTTAATAATGACCCAGAGTTTATTGGATGCCTTTGTTACTGTTTGCTGCAGCTTACGACTGAAACTCAAGTCAGGTGAGATGAAATTGTGTGATTTAAAGGTAAATACTAAAACAAATTTACATGTAATGAAAAGGAGGCTTCAGAAATTTGAGCCATTAAGCTACACAAGCCATCTCATCTATCAATAACAATGTAACTGTCAAACTTTTACTGTTGGCATTTCTAAATTTCTACTTTTTAGATGCTCGGGTGTAATTATAAGATTTTTCTTTTTCAATGTACTAGTAAGTTAAATTTCCAGAGAATACAAATTGGAAAGATAAATTATAGTTTTAAATAAGGATTAATAAATAAAGTTAGCATTCCGAAAATTGTTTAATTTAGTAGTCTAAGTTCAAGGGAGGTCCAGTTCAATCTACACTTTAATCAATGTGAGTTATTGGGTTATACTAGTTTCAGAGAATTCCACTCCTCATCAGTCTCCCTGAACACAAGTTAACCAAAGAGAGATAAGCTGGACCTATATCATATTGAAAAGTATCAAACATACATTGTAAATATAAAGCACATTCACACACTACAGTATCTTCATCTCTTACCTTGCGTACACGTGTGAAACCTATAGTAATACTGATTGTTGGCATCTTATATATTAAAAAGATCGATGTACAGTGATAAAGGAATAAAGTGAATTGGAGTTTATTCAGTACAATAACTGTCATTGTAATACAAGTTCCACAAATGTCAGATGCCAGTTTTTATCTACGAGTCATTTTGGATTTGTTTGCATATAAAAGTATGATAGCATCTGAATAAATTTTATTAAATTGTATACAAACTACAAAGTTTCTTTGTTTAAAATTGTTCAGTGTTGATTGTCAGCGACAGACCACATGGCACGTTAACGTCAGTACTTTAGTAAAAGAGCCAGCATCATTAACTTCAGCTGAAGAAGGTACTTTACTAATCATATCTGCAGCTCAGAGACTGTGGCAAGAACTCTATCTATCCAAACGACAGGTTGGTTGTTTCTTTTCTTTTACATTTTTTAATAACTTAAGTTTAAGAAAAAATATTTTGTGTATTATGCTGTAAAAGCTCAAGTACAGAGTTGTCAAAGAGACGTAATAAAATTGTAATTACTACAGTAAAGAGTCATTGATGCTGTTTTTGTTAACATTATGCACATGATCTTTAAACAGTTGTATGTTTTAACCCATTAAGTTGGATGGGGTAAATCACAACCTCATTCAACATATTGCCCTTGTGTTTATGCTTCTTGACTAGCAAGCTGCAGGTTGTGGGATTGTAACCTGTATGTGCTTGACCTTTCAGTCATGGTGGGAGCATTATAATGTGATGGTCAATCACATTATTTGTTGATAAAGAATAGCCCAAGAGCTGATGGCTGATGGTGTGATTGGCCACACTCCCTCTATTCTAATACTTCAAAATTAGGAATGGCTAGTGCATATAGCACTTGAACAGCTTGCCTCAAAATTCAACAAACAAATATGCACTTCACAGAGATAAGTGTAATTATGATGAGAAAAATTATTTTGTTTTCTTAAGATTGCCATTTGATGATAATCTTTATACTAAACTTTCATTGTAAAAAACGGTTCAAGCAGGGCAAAAACACATCATAAACAATACTAGAAAAAGCTGGTATACTTGATAGAGTGGTAGGGCAACCACCATGAGAAGGTCATTTAGTTTGTTCCTCTGATGTAAACAAAACAATCTACAAACTGCTGCTAAGTAAACGGTAGAGGAGAGATGTGCACGAGCTTTTTGAAAATCCCGTTATTGAGGAAGAGATGAACTTCAGGAAGCTGGATGAAGAGTAATTAATGTAAATTTCAGTTAAAAACTTCTAAAAATGTAAAGTCAAAATGATTCTGTTATTTTCATGCATATTTAACTGTTGTAAAAACGTTTGGTCAGAATCGACACTGTTGAATAGACCACAAGGTACTGAAGAAAAGGTTCTTTGTAAACATATTGAATATATTTTGTAATTAAATTGGGATCTACGTAAAGTTTGAAAGCTAAAAAGCTGTGTTTTTTGGAACTTAATTTGAAATATATAAAAAATTTTCTATAGAACATCATTCCACTTTCACTGATTATATAATTTTTAGGAATAACTCTTTTAGAAAACTTAAATGTGATGTTGTTTTTTTCCATAAAGGTGCTGGAAGAACTCTTTAAAACTTCACTAAGCAGTATCCACCCAGCTCAAGACCCTGGAATGCCTCCACCACTTCATAGTCTGTGGGATAGTCTTCACGAACAAGCCAGTAAGCTGTGGCTTTCCTTTCTTGATGGAGAGCGAAAATCTGGCTATAGGGAGGCATGGCAGCTGCAGTCTCAACTTCAGAATGTTAGTATCATTTGGTCTTTTTGTGACTCAGGTTTTTAATTGTATTGTACACAGATTTAATATTAATTAACCAACAACTTAAGTTCTAATTTTAAAAGTGATAGTATATCTTAAAGTACCGTAATATTGGTGAAATAAACAGGCCTAAATTTGGCTTAACCAGCGTCGTTCAAAATCTCAAGTTAAAGTTGATTTGACAGAATGTTACTCTGATCTCTTGAAATTCTCTCACCTAAAGGAAAGCATAAAGCACACTAATTGAATGTAATTGTGTTTTACTAAAGTGTTCGTGACTGAATATTTCCTCAAGAACTTTGGTGTAGTTTTATTATATTGATAGGTTTATAAGATATGTAACTACTCAGGCTTGAGACAGTATGTGTATACACAATACTACGAGCATTATAAAAACTGAGTAAAATAGAAGCTTTCAGTAAACTTCTGGAATTTGTTGTGATACTTAATGGTTGAAAGAACATTATCCAGAAATGGTCAGATAATCACTTGAACATATATATATATATATATGATATAAACAACCTATGCAAAGAAATGTGGCGGTAAGTGATAGTTTGAAACAAGAAAAAGAAATGGACCAAGTTACTGCTGTACTAAATATAAATATTGTTTTAATACCTGAAAACAAATCAAACATAATTATTTCTACAGCGACTACAGAAAGTTACTGGAGGTTTGAGCCGCTTAGCTAGCCGTAAAATAAAAAAAGAACATTCCCCTCGAGTTGCAACCACAAAAATGTCTCTTAAGGTAAGTTTGTATATCTTTAATGTTGATAGATTTGTGTGCAGAACAAAGTATTGTAAATGAACAAATTTATTAGTGATAAATTGACCTATAAAATACCATCCTTAAAGTTCATCATCATATCAAACATTTAATTGCAATTGTGGGTACTAGGCCACTTCCCAAAACTGGGTTCTTAGAAATAAAAATATTAATGATAAAGAGAAAAAAAACTGTTTACAACAAACGTGACTTAGTCCTCAATTAGCTAATTGTTACGTTTTTACCATATAACACAAAGAAAAAACATTGAAAAAAAGTGATAATTAATGAATCCTCATTGTATTGTATCATATTATATCTCACACTTCTCTTTGTCTTTCCAAACTTCTCTCTCTGTGTTGGGATGGAGGAAAAAACCACTTCTCCCTAAATTTGAGTCTAGCATGGTCTCTGCTATATTATTAGTAATACTGATACCAGATGGTAATGTGTTAAAGGAATTACTACTGCATCACAAGTTTTCTTGTGTTTTAGAAGTTAATAGGTGTGACAGTGAACAGGTGGTAGAAATGTTGCTAAAATAATCTTGTTTATTTTGAAATATTCTCTCAGTGTATTGAACTTATGTTTTGTAGGCTTATCTTATCCAGAGTTGTCTGATTTGTGATGTAGATTTTTTTACATCTTCAGTTACTTGTTTTTCAGGAAGCTCACTTATGGACTTTCTCACACATATCCATTGTACGGGACTTGGTTGAACTTCATCTAAAACACAGGCAACAGGTAAAAAAAAAAGTATTTTAATATTTATTTCAAACTTTATACATTAGCTCTTGAAAGGCAAACAAACCTTGATAAAGTCACATTTAAGAAAGATGCCAGGTAAGCTAAAGTTGGAATAAATATGTGAATAGCAGAAAAAAACTCATTCAAGTTTATGGTTACTGAAAGTTACACTGGATTAGTTTTTTGTATATCCCGATGTCATGCTATTATAGGGACAATGAATAGGTGATAATACATGAAGCAAACAACTAGTTTAATGTGTTTTGTGAGCAAGTTATTCAGTTCTTTCTTTGTTTATTTAATTAGCAGTAGTGCTTAAGTTGTTAAATATAAATAACGTAGTTTATTAATTTTTTATATTCATTATTTTACAGTTTTAGCTTCGTATATGTATTTAAGACTAACCTAATTCTCCCAAGTTGGCTGAACTAAGTGTGTTTAACTCATGATTCTAATTATTATAAGTTTTGTTTTGTTTTATGACTTTGAATATTCTTAGTTAGGAAGACATATTAAATTAGCTATATTAGTTACTGGGTTAATTTTTGGTTATGAGTTTTGTAGGTTGCTTGGTTTGATCAGAAGTTAATGATAATTACTTGGACAAAAGAGTGACTGTTAATACAAAAAAATGTGATATCAGCAAAAACCTTTACATACGTTTTACAGTCTATAAAAATTTAAAACGAAATGGAATATTAAAATAAATCGATCACTACGTTAACAACGGTAGCATCGTGATTATCAAAACTGATTCTATTACAAAGTAAAAGATTCCTCGTGAACTGAGATATGCTGATAACTGTAAGTGACCATTGCATCATAATGGCCAGAAATAATGCGTAGTTAAGATAAGAACATGTAACTTTCAACTGTACTAGATATGTTGTGCACAAAGTACATAACTGTGCTAGAAACATGTAAAACTTAATGCTAGTTTTGTACATGGACAAATGAGCATACAGGTAAGTTTAATGTAAAGCATTCAAATAAATGAGTCATATTAATTGTATTTTCATCAATAAGTATGACAACAAGTAGTGATAAATCTGAGTTTGATTATAATTTTATCAAATAAAAAAAGGTAAGTTGAAATAGATTTAATTTCTTAGAACAGCTTGTGCCTAGTGAGATTGGTTTTTGTATTTTTTTTATCGTATTAAACAATGCTTCTCTAGTACTGTGAAGGTAATTTTTGTGAAGTTCTAGAATCGTAATAAAGCTAAAGCTATGAAATTTGTGGTTTTCTTGAATTTAACTGCAGAATCATAAAATTTGTGTAAAATGGAATTATAGCATGTTATTAATGATAATCGTTTTTCTTTTAATTGTTTTGTTTTGTTTTTCTTGAATTTCGCGCAAAGCTACACGATGGCTTTCTGCGCTAGCGGTCCATAATTTTGCTGTGTATGACTAGAGGAAAGGAAGAAAGGAATATAG